TCCCCGTTAACACTCAGGTGATACTGAGATTAGCACAACACTTAGCAGATACTGTACATATAAGTGCCTAACGAATACATGCTACAATTTTGTGCTCTGAGAGACGTCCCGGATTTATTTTAAGACACAAAGCGACCAGTGAATTACCTAAATGATCTACCTACTGATTTAGAATTCTGCTCATAATCGTATATAGGTCCGATCTTTGCTTAATTTCCTATTCATATGGGACAGCTATGCTATTATCGGCAGAATAGGTTTCCATCTTTCAAGTATGAAACATATGTTTCAACTCAGAAGCATAGACGAACAGCTAAGCTATTCTATGCTACTGTTCGACCTTGTTGCAGTTTACGAATTACTCTACGGAAGTCGGATAAAAACAGTAATATAAGTATCAAAAAATAGTGACTCACCACCGACGTCTGACTGAGAGCCATTATTTGGATAGACGCTTACTTCTGGTGCTCCAAATAGTGTCGTCTGCCGTCCAGAACGGCAGAGAAGTTCCGCAGAATGAAGTGCGGCGACTAGATTGTTCCTTTTAGTGGCCTTCACGGAAGTTGACCTGCTACTTTCGGGAACGGCTAAATGCTACCGTCTGTCAATATGGTTTTACGGCCGTTCGTTTCCCGATTTTAAGCTGATTTAAGATGATTCCGTGAAATACTGATAGAATGGTTTTTTGACTTGCCAACTGAACGGAACTATGAGCAGAGGTATACAGTGGGAAGAAACGTAGCGAGACGAAAGATGGAAAATATTCACACAAGAGATTTTTCACTTCGTAACTTCTCCGGAGTCAGCGGATGGGATATAGTTAAGATTCACTTTTTTTTATAATTTTTTTTTCCTGAAATTAATATTTTCGCGAAACACATACGCGCAGCGAGACGAGCCGATGGAGAATCGCAAGTGCTGTGATCAATGTGATTGATGAGGCAGCAGGAAACAAGTCAGCTCTTTCATTATCACAACGTTCTTATGCATAATCTAGTGTGACGTAACATTGAATCATGCGTAAGAACGAAAGAGTCGACTACATTCCTTCTGCCGCACCTATAGTAACGCACACGGCTCCCGCACTGACTATTTCTTACTTTCTCACTCTAATCAAAATTTCCTTCGATGAGTGAGAAAACAGCACCCCGTCAATGCGAGCGAGAACGCGAGTTGCCAGATCATTGCACACAAAACCAACTTGAATTAATTCAAAACAAAAATACTAGCGAACCTGGCGGTGAGGAGCGGAAGGTGGACTAGAATTCTATTACAGAGAACCACATTATTTTAATTAATTTCTTCGGAGAAAGTCGTCTGTAACTTCGTTTGTGCTTATAAAACACCTGAGTTGATCAAACGTTGAATAATAGCTTCCAGAGTTGAACAAGAATGTAGTTGTATTGCCTTTTTGGTTAAACGCTTCAAAAGCTGCTTGGAGCACTCTTAAATGATTGTTTACGTTCGGTTAAACTGTTTGACAGGAGCCATATAGGATGTGGAATAAACGCATCAAAACAAACCATTGGGAGCTCTTATACAACACCTGAGTTGATCAAACGTTGAATAATAGCTTCCAGAGTTGTACAAGAATGTAGTTGTATTGCCATTTGATTAAAAGCTTCAAAAACTGCTTGGAGCACTCTTAAATGATTGTTTACGTTCGGTTAAACTGTTTGACAGGAGCTTCTATAGGATGTGTAATAAACGCATCAAAACAAACCATTGGGAGCTCTTATACAACACCTGAGTTGATCAAACGTTGAATAATAGCTTCCAGAGTTGTACAAGAATGTAGTTGTATTGCCTTTTTGGTTAAACGCTTCAAAAGCTGCTTGGAGCACTCTTAAATGATTGTTTACGTTCGGTTAAACTGTTTGACAGGAGCTTCTATAGGATGTGTAATAAACGCATCAAAACAAACCATTGGGAGCTCTTATACAACACCTGAGTTGATCAAACGTTGAATAATAGCTTCCAGAGTTGTACAAGAATGTAGTTGTATTGCCATTTGGTTAAAAGCTTCAAAAACTGCTTGGAGCACTCTTAAATGATTGTTTACGTTCGGTTAAACTGTTTGACAAGAGCTATATAGAACGTGACATAAACGCATCAAAACAAACCATTGGGAGCTCTTATACAACACCTGAGTTGATCAAACGTTGAATAATAGCTTCCAGAGTTGTACAAGAATGTAGTTGTATTGCCTTTTTGGTTAAAAGCTTCAAAAGCTGCTTGGAGCACTCTTAAATGATTGTTTACGTTCGACCAACCACAATTTTGTTTCTTAAAATTAGCACAAGTGATAGGCACGTTTATATGACCATAAGGCAATGATTATTCGACTGCAAGAGAAGTCACTCAAGATGAGCTTCATATACTTCTCTCATATGATCAAAATATGTATTCAAGAATAGAGCAGATGGAAACAGAAGCGGCTGGCAATCCGGGATCATGAGTTCGAATCTTGCTTCGAGAAACCCTCGGTGGAGTAGAGGTAATAGTACGTTCAGACTACCGAGTTATAACATGTTATAGCGCTATCTTGATGGTGGTTTCTGTGTTGCAATTATTTGACAACCGTTATAACATGTTATAACTCTTCAGTCTGGCCAGCGTTTTAATTATATATATAGGTGTTTATTAATAAATGCAAACATTAATTTAAGACATAGGGGAAATGTAGGTAATGTTGGCCTACATGTCCCTAATTTGGGCCCATCGCTAAAAGTCTGCTATTTATCAAATTTATCTAAATGAACGCGTCATTAGGACGGTACTAATGGATATTTTTGGTCGCTATTGAAAATTTAGTCGATTGCTGAATTTATGTACGGGCCCAAATTAGGGACATGTAGACCGACATTACCTACATTTCCCCTATATCATATAATCAACGATAACATTTCTAGATAAATTCTCTCAATTAATTATTAGGGAGATTAATCGAAAGAATATCAATCAAAGATTAAACCGATGCTAGTTACTACTTCCTCCATGATCACAGAATGTGTATTATGGCATAATTACATATTTTTTCAATGTGCACAAATAAATTAAATTAATAAAAACTGTACAAGCAATTATTTTGGCGTACCACAACAATTGTTAAATTAATTTTAATCTGTGAATATTGTGAGTACCTACACAACGGTTATTAAGGAGTCATTAAAAAGTGCTATAAACGCTTTTCACCGCTTGCTGTACAATGATTATTTAGGAGTCATAAAAGAGTGCAACAAACGCCTCTCAGGTTTACTCTCTACTAAATTTCAAAGCAGCTGTCAAGAAGTGTCTACAAACGTTGTATAAGAGCTTTCACCAAAATAATAAAGCTTGAGTTTAAATATGTATCTATAAACGTTGTATAAAAGTTGCTTCTATCCGGTTGTTAAGGAGTCATTGAAAAGTGCTATAAACGCTTTTCACCGCTTGCTGTACAATGATTATTTAGGAGTCATAAAAGAGTGCAACAAACGCCTCTCAGGTTTACTCTCTACTAAATTTCAAAGCAGCTGTCAAGAAGTGTCTACAAACGTTGTATAAGAGCTTTCACCAAAATAATAAAGCTTGAGTTTAAATATGTATCTATAAACGTTGTATAAAAGTTGCTTCTACTCCTATACCGTTTAGACATATAATGCTGTAGTTGAACAGGTTCTCCAAACCAGTGTAAACAAGAGTTTTACAGAAGTTGTAATAAACAAATTGTACAGTTATTATTCAGCATGCAGTTGAATAAAATCACAATGGAAGCGTTTCTTCAACAAGAAATTGATTTTGGGCAAACGTTTTACTGAATACGTTAGACAACACCTTTGTGTTGCAGTTGTATAGGTTCTCCAAACGAGTGTAAACAAGGGTTTTATAAAAGTTGTGGTGAACACATTGTGCAATTATTATTCAACATGCAGCTGAACAAAATCAAAACGAAAGCGTTTCTTCAACTGGAAATTGTTACTTGGGTAGTCAAGTAGTGAGCCAATTTAAAATCGTTAGTTTCGTATTGATTGTTGAGACAACTGGCTTCTTTTTGTCTGTGACGAGTTCTTCTTCTCTCGCGGAAACGACCGTGCAAAAACCATGGCAAAAACTATTTCATTATGAGCGACGCAATCGACTGTAAAAATACAAGAAAATAGATTCCCTGTTTCCCTGTTGTAGAATTTCTCGCCTTTCTATACATTGGCCGGACCAATCAGGCACTGGTTTGCGTTTGACAGAAAATAGGGGTTCATAATAGTCCCCCTATTGTCTCCTCTTCCTCTTAGCTTCTGAGTGCAGGAAATTTTAAGCTTCTCGAATCCAAAGTCGATGTTATAATAAGAGTCCCGCCAAGAGGAAATATTGCGAACAAGCAGCACTGTTTGTGATTTATTTTTCGTCAGAGTAAACGGCAACCAGATTTTTTTGCGTTAGTATCGGATGACTTTCATTTAGAAGTGAAAAATTTCATGTCGATAACGGAGCTTCTGGGAGACAAAACAATTATTTATCCTGAAAAAGGTTCAAACAAGTGCTTTATAAATACCACAATGTACTAAATAAAGTGAAGAAATGTTTTTCATCTAAAATTCCTAAAATATTGTCAGTAATGAATGCAATACTTGTAGTTTACTGGCTGTGGGAACAATGATGTTTATTTACTTTGCTTGTTTGGTACCCCGCTTGACAGTTCGATTGGTACTTCTGGCTTCACTCTTGGCGGGACTCTTATAACATCCACTCTACTCGAATCCTCTGATTCACTCGTTCTACCTGAAAGCTAGCAGCACTGTTCAAAACTGTGCGTTTCCTTCGACACAAACCTTGCGTTCGCGTAGAGCTGTTCCTTGGCAAAGTTCATCCCACCGTCATTCATCCGCACTGGAAGGGATTCATCCCGGACAGCGGCTTTCAAAAAGCTGTCATCCAGAGTCATCCGATTTACAAAAGGACAGAGGGTGCCTGCTTTCTGGACGCGCGTCATACCACACAGAAGAAGAGTAGTATATCGGTCGCGAGAAAATAAGAGTTTCGTTCCGTTCGTTCCCGTTCCCGGATTCTGGCCGAGGTCGACATTTTCGCTTCAGTAATTCCTTTTCCCGATTTGCGTGGAAATCAAGCAACAACCGTCAGTGTCGGTCGTTGGTGGTGAAATTAAAAGTTGAGTGTTTGTCCTCCAAAGTGAAAATGTCTTCTTCGTCCCATCATCCATCGCCGTTCAGCCATCTGAACAACAACAACATCGGCGGCAGCGGATCCACGCAGAACAGTATCGCTCCGCCGCATCACAACAATCTGCAGCAGCACCATCCGGATTACGACGAGTTCGAGGATGTAGACAACGAACAGACCCAGCAGCAGCAGGAACTGCTGTTCGACGACGGACCGGTTGCCGAGGATGAGAACATGGACGACAGTGGGGAAGGTTTGTGCCGTTGGGCTTTTTTGTTTTGAGTTTTTAGTGGATTTTATGATGCAATAACAAAGGGAAAATGGTTTGTTTTTGTTTGGTAGATACGGAGGAGGCAAGCGAGACAGAGTTGGGCTCCAGCAGCAACCATCGGAACATTGACGAACCCATCGAGATCAAAGAGCAGTGAGTATTTTGTGGATTTTTAATTGGAAAATTTCCGTTGTTATTATTTCGGCCGTTCCACAGAATGTACCAGGACAAGTTGGCGTCGCTGAAGAAGCAGCTGGAGGAGCTGCGTGCCGGAACGCATCCGGAGTATGTCCGGCGGGTGAAGAAACTGGAGCATCAGTACAACGAGCGGATCCGCTTGAACGAAATCTACCGGGAGTACCTGATCAGTTGCGTTGAACGTGACTACATCCTGGAGAAGAATGCCGCCGTCAAGGAGTACGAGGAGAAGAAAAACGATTTGCAGGAGAATCTGGTAACGGACTTTGAGGACCGTCGCAAGATGATCGAAAGCGAACGGGCTACGATGGAACTGACTGGGGATTCGATTGATGTGAAACCGACTGTGACTAGAAAGCTGAGACGACGACCGAACGAACCACTTCCGGTTCCGGAAAAACGTCGCAAGCCGACGACCGGACAGCTGATCCTTCTGCTGGACGAGAAAGAAGTCGAGAACGATCTCAAACTGATCAGCCGTGGGAAACCGGTTCACGCCATACGAACACACACAAACAGCACCTCCAATGCTGGCAACGGTAGTTCCAGTCAGAATGCCAACAGCACATCACTGGCCACTGGCATGGTCAGCCCAGTAGCCAACAGCTACCAAATAAACAACAGTAGCACGGTCACCACAACCGGAGCAGCATCTTCCAGCACCACCAACGAGATCAGTATTTCCACCCTTCCATCATCGACATTGAATTCCCTGCATCCGATTCCTTCTCAGCTGGCAACGATCGCTCCTTCTCCAACTCCAACTCACAGTCAGAACCTCAACCAAAACAATCATCAACCCCAACCGCAGCAGCAAGCTCCTCCGCCATCCGGTAGTCAACAACCGCCAAACAATCCACCGCCCCAACCGCCGGTGCAGCCACCGCAGCCAGTCCAGCAACAGCCCCAGCCGCAACAGCAGCCACCGCCGCCGCCGCCACCACCGCCGACACCGCTGGTCGAGACCAAGATCGAAGACGGAAAGCTCCTGTACGAGCGCCGTTGGTTCCATCGGGGCCAACCGGTCTACGTCGAAGGGAAGGATATTCCGCGCTTCTCGGCCAACATTTCCGCCATCGGTAGCGAAGCGATCTGGGTCAAAAAAACCTCCGACGGCCAGAAGGTGCGCATTTTCACCAACCAGCTCAGCCGCGGCAAGGTTTCGATCAAGCGACGTGCCAACTGAATCCTGAGTCCTCCCACCCGGCTGTGAGTAAGTAGCGCGCTGCAAATGGATCTCATTTACCTACTACGGTCTGAATCGCTTTTTTTTTCTAATTTGTTCAATCTTTTAATCGTATTTTTCTGCCGGTCTTGTCCTCTGCTGTGTGGAGGGGAAAGGGGATGCAGATCGGAATAGCTTTCACTAAACAATGACAGATGCATAATAGGTAACTAAGCAATTATTGCACTCTTTTTCTATCGATCTAAGTTAAGGGCACAATGCATACTTTCAACGGATTAAAAATTGCTACTTCAACACAATAATCGGGGTTGAAAACAAGGGGGGAACTCAAGAGAAGGAGGAGGAGGAGGAGAAGAAAGAAAGCAGTTTTGCCGTGTCAATGGTCTATATAATAATAGTAAGAATAAGTATGTTTTAAATTGTATTGAAGATGGTTGTGTTTTCTTGCAGAAGGTAATATTGTGAAAGTCCAGACAGGGGTTGAAAGTACTGCTAATTTTCATAGGGAAATCGCCGTCGCGGAGGTTGAAGACATTTTTTGTTATGATGGCCATCAGGACAAATGCTTTTCGTGTCATTCGAAGAATATGTGAAGTTTGCAGTAGCTAGTAGGTTCCACCAAATGATGCTGTTGAAAATAGCTCAACCCGCGCTTGGGTAATATGTCGCTTCCCTGTCGGCCCTTGACTGGTACGACGCCCGCTTCCGTTGGGCAAAAAAGATGTCGAGCTTCAGTCTACTTCATGGAAATCCTGTAATCTTAAAGAATTTTATTTTATCTAAAAAATTCTCAAGGAACTTTCAAATTTCTTTATAAACTTAGTTTTCAGGAATACAGGATTCAGGATTCGCCAGGTTTTGCAGAAAACACATAATTTGTTCTTCGATTTCAAATCCGCATACGGCACAATCGATCGAGATCTGCTGTGGCAGATTATGCATGAGTACGGATTCGTCAAGGCTACGATGGATCGAGTGATGTGCGTTATTCGAGTCCATTTGAACCTCGAAGGGGGTTACGGCAAGGTATCTGCTATTTAATATCGCGTTAGAAGGTATGATAAGAATAGCTGGGATAGACACGATCTTCAGGAAGTCCATTCAGCTCCTTAACTTCGCCGATGACATCGACATCGTGTCACGGAATTTTGAAACGATGGCGGAAACGTACATCACATTGAAGACTGAAGCTCGGCGAATTGGACTTGCCATCAACGCATCGCAGACGAAATACAGGAGAGGAAGAGGTTCTAGGGAAGACAATGTTAGCCTTTCCAGCCCGAGTTCAGATTGACGGTAACGACATCGAGGTGGTCCACATGTGTTTGGACTCACAGCAGAGAAATTCAAAGACGCATTATGGCAGGGAATATCATGCCTACTTTGGACTTTCGCCGTCACTTTTTCGAATGGAGGGTGTTGCGTACCATCTACGGTGGAGTGCAGATGGATGACGGAACGTGGAGGATGCGAATGATCCATGAATTGCACCATCTGCTGGGAGAACCATCCATCGTCCACACTACAAAAATTGAGCGACTACAGTGGGCTGGGCACGTCGTAAGAATGCCGTACGACGACCCACTGAAAATGCTTCTCGAAAGCGACCCAACAGTACTCTCCCCTCATCATCCCTCCCCAACAGGGGAGTTTGTTAAAGGAGATGATCAACCCGATTCGTACCAGAATAACTTAGCCGAAGACAGTAAAATCCTATAAGCACAGACTCTTGAGATATAGTATATACAGGAAGTCAACATGCACACTAGCGCTGCGTAGTTAGATAATTCTAAACTTATCTGACCACCATCTGGACGGGCTTGGTCACCAGAACAACTTTGCTGAAGACGGTAACATTCTATATGAACAGATTCTCGATAGGGCATATACAGGAAGTTCATATGCACACTAGCTCCACCTAGCGAGAGAATTATCAACTGAACTACTGATCATCTAGAAGGCCTGGGCCTGCCGAAGAACATTGCCGAACGATTTGTTTGAAAACGGGAATGCAAAATACTGATTCAAAATTTACAACTTTTAGTCGATACGACCTCAAAAAGAAATCAGGGTGAATGTCTACAGGTACCTGCACTGTAAGAATCAGCATCTTCCCTTCCTTAAGAATCGAATAAAGCCAAGGATCTGATAGAGGAGTGATCGTTTTGCGACAGGATGATTCACCTGAAGTGCGGCGGCACAAAGTTGAGCAAGGCTTTTTTTTAATATTGTCCACACTAGCCCAAACTTGTTTTGGATGTGCAACGATTGCGCGAAGCTGATGAAATGTGCTCGGTTCAAAACCGCTGCTTCGTCGTTTGGTAGTGCGATGAATGCTATCACCGAGAGCTTAGGAAGAAAATGGCTAAGCAACGACAGCAGATCGCTCAGTTGTCGAAACGAATCGCATTGACACACTCCAACACACTTGAGTTCCGGCGATCTTATGCGCCGCGATGAAGACTCGCTCACCAGCAAACCGCTTGTTGCTCGTACTAAAGCAGTGATGGATGACAATGTCTTTACCGAGGTACTTATTGTCCCTGATCCCTCCGAGCTGTTTTGGTTGTACCTTTCTCGTATACATCCTAGTGTGAAATCGGAATCAATCGAGAAGCTGGTCTAAGGTTGTGTACAGTGCGAGGATCCGATTAAGGTTGTGCCGCTAGCCAAAAAAAGATTCGACATCAGCCGTATGAGCTTCATAGTGTGCAAGTCAAATTAGCTCCCAAACTACGCGAAGTTGCTCTTACATCGAATACATGGCCGAAAGGAATTTTGTTCCATGAATTTGAAGACGGTTCAAAACACATGTTGATTTCTTGATACCATCATGACCTTTCCTATTCCGGGATCTTCCGAGTTCTCAACTCTCATTTCCGGACTAGATTCAGAATTGGAACGCTGTAAACCAGAACGCACAGCCTGTGGTATCTACGGAGACCTCGAACCACTCGATCCAGTCGGGCTAGCTGTTTCCCGTGTTCCAGTGCAACGCCACAAGCATCTGCCGGCTGTTTCCAGTTGAGAAGCACTTCTGATACTGCTCATTTACAATATCCGCTTTACTGTTCGAACAATCCTAATTCATCTCCGGGACGCACAATAGACCGCCTTTCGGAAGCTCCTGGTTGCTCCAGCCCAGTCGTGCCAATTTCTGCCAGTGCTCAGCATAGTCGTCCTGGACCTGGGGCTGTATATGGATCAGGAGTCTTCCAGCTTGCTTCTACAGGCAAGTACAATCAATATATTGACCATTCACTGCCTAATGCCGATCACCTATTCAGCAATTAACCACTTCTTTCGAGCAGTTAAAATGACGTTTACTACCACTCGAACTTTGAAATAAAACATTATTTGGAGATTTTTCTAGAACCACGAGAAAAGTAGCCAACATTTGTGCGTTTCACGCCAAAACTGCTTGACAAAGTGGTCAATTCGGACTATGTTAGTAATTATGATGATGTCTCTGTAACTCCCAATCCTGAGAACACGGAATGCGCCGTAGAACGCCCCATGGAAGCCCTCAATCCCTCCGTCTCAGTTCTGCCATCAGCAGAATCGACCTGCTGTCGGATGTGGAAAGGGGGTCTTCTATAGCGAGTATTCAATCAGACTCGATGATGGTCTGATATCTGTGATTTCTAGGGAGAATAGTCGTTCGATTCATTGCCGTAAGCAGGACGTCGTGATCTTCTACCAAAACGCCGGTGGAATGAATTCTGATGTTGAAGAGCACCGCCTAGCTGTATCGGATCGTTGCTACGATGTAATTGTCCTGTGTGAAACGTGACTCGATTCTCGAACGCGTTCTGACTACGAGGTATTTCGTAGCGATCGGAATCCCAACAACAGTCGTAAATCTACTGGAGATAAAGGCCATCGAGAACGCTTCATGGAACAATGTGGAACAGGTTTGGACAGCCATCAATCTGGGTGATCGCACACTATTCCTATGCGCTCTGTACTGTGCGGTATCGGATACCCTCCGCATAGAGATGCAAGCCGCTCATGTTGCAATTTACAGGTAGCGGTAGAGCAGACTACCTTTGAATGGGCTAACACGCAAACACTGGGAAAATGTGCACCAACGAAATAAAAATTGGGTTAGCATTGACGTTCACATTAATTTATTGTGCCGGCATGGTTTTCTCCTGCCCAACCTCCTCTCCTATCTTTCTTCGGCCTTTGCTGCTCTCACTTCCCTACATCTTTTCTCTTCTTCTTTCCGCTTACTTCTTCTTAGGAGTACTCACTCAATGCTGCTGGGTGCACCCTTACCGCCGCTGGATTACCGCACTGATGTTCCGCGGCTCGTCCGTCTGACTTGCTCCACACACACAGCACAATGACCACCCGTTGTTCCGTGGTTTAGAGTCCGGTCCGGACAACCCTCATCCGTCGTGTCTACGATGACCTCGCCAGAGTCACGCACAGCCCAGACACGCTGGCCCTCGTGCAGCTGAGTAGTCCGACCTGCGGAATAGCAATCAGAATAAAAGGCCTTCTGTTTGAAGGCCTTTTTAGCCACAGGCAGTGGTTCTTCACCGATAGCGTCTGTCCGGGAGATCGTGTTGTGGCGTCGTTGCCTTGGCCTGAGCGCACGGTTAATCTGTCGTCGGCAAGCTTCAACGATGTTTGATCGTTGATCCACCATCCGGTGCGTTCTTCTTCGATCGCACAGAGCTGCTCGCGCCCGAGAACACAGTTTTTTACACTTCCAACTTACTATCACGGCAATCGCGATTATCAACCACGCCGTTTTGCGTGCTACTTGTGCGAATGCACTTTTCTTCTGGCTCCCTTTATGCTGTCACTGATGTTTACTGTGCTGGTACTTGTGTGTGTGCGTGCGGAAGCGTTGTCAGCAACGTCAATGCGGAATGATGGGCAAGATAATTTTCGCTTTTCAAGCGATGCGGCCCATGTGGCATAATTTCCTTATACACGCTCACGGGAGATTATGCATCAATAATGTCATACCCCAAATGCTTATAAGCGAATTGCTACTACCCAAAACTAAACGTAACACAACCTTACCACAGGCGCAGAGTTTTTTGTGAGCGATGAAGAAGAAGCTCACAAAAAACTCTTAGCTCACTTCCTTAGAAGTCGCATAGAGACTAGGCAGATCTTATGATATTGACTTAAGCAAACCTTAAGATGTAGATAACCGCAGCATGACTGAAAACCGTGAGCCTCATGCTCACCAGATATAAATTTCCCAACTAAATCAAAACGAACATAACGGCAGTGTTCGCGACGCGCGTGTCACGTTCATCAGACGAAGCCGAAGGGGCTTCGTCCTTTATTATTATTTTTCGAGAGGAACTCGCAATCCGCGAAGGATCACGCGGCGA